GTGTGTGTGTGTGTGTGAGAGTGAGAGTGAGAGTGAGAGAGAGTGTGAGAGTGAGAGAGAGAGAGAGAGATTCCTGGTCACACCTTTCTATCACTCTAGGCTTCATCCTGTGATGCTGCGTCTCACTAAGGGCCATGCAAGGACTCAGAGTGCACTTACTGCCGATGCCCAGGGACATCCATCACAATGACTACGATGTATACGGCCATATATCCATTAAGATGAGTAAGAATGTGACTCTAAAGACTTTTGTGTACAGGCCCATTGCTATTCCTGCTGCAACATTACCTTCCTTTACAGTATATGTGCCTATCTTGACGTGAAGCACTGACACGAGTGGTGTATGTGTTTATGTTTGACAATTGTGTGAGGCAGCATTGACTTTATTAGTATTTTTCATCAATACATCTCCTGCATCCGTCTCCTTATGAATGAGAGAGCTCACATTTACTAAACATGTGAAGTATTGGAATTATTTCATAATATACTTCATGCACTGAGGAAGTTGAAGTGGATTATAAGTATATAGGGAGATGAACAGGGTTATAATGAATGTTAGGTGTATTGCTTTGTGCTTGTTTTTCTCTCATGAGCTCATGTTTTACTCCCAGTCCCCGTGCAATCACTACACACATGCAGACTATAAGCAGACTGAAAGACCAAAAATGTGGTTTTAGTGCGCACTTCAGTTTTAATTAAAGCAATGCAATTGACAATAAAAGCATTGTCAAGTTTTTTTGTGCATTTTTCCCCCTTCAACATGCTGACATGTTGAGATGTTTCATTTTCAACAATGAGTCTTTCCCCCTGTCTTTTGGATATTCTTAAATCTCTTATCTTATTAATCTTAAAAAAAAGAAGGCTTTTGCCGCAGGCTGCAGAAGAGGAATTTGTGTTTAGTGGATTCCTGTTCCCAGATGAGGAGAGCTAAATGAGTTTGGAGGCTTCCTGAATGCTCTATAATTGTGATGAGGCTCTGTTCCTCTGAACAATTAAAGATGCAGGAGCCCTGTCTCTTCTGAGATCCATCCCAGATCACTATCGCCGAGTCCTCCCAGTAAATCACACACACTGCAGTCGGCTGATGACCACCTATCTCTTTTAGCTCCCTGGCTGCTTTTAGAGAAAATCTCAAGGTCGGCATCATGTCCAACGCTATGATCAATTTATTACCCGCTGTCAAAGAATTAGAGGGTAGAAACAGAGGACCTTCCAGTCTCCCAAGTGGTCCAACCCCCCTTTCCTCCCCCTGCTTCCAGTCTCACATAGCAGGCTTTATTTGTCCCCTCAGAACAAAGCGGAGAACAAAGCTGCATAGCTGTCTGCTCTGTGGAGCTGTGTGGCTATGCTAATGTCTCTAGGCTGGTTGGAGTCTTATTGAATGGGTGAGCAGAAGAGGTAAATAAGCGTGTCTGGATGAGAGGTGGGGGCCAGCGGGTGAAAGAGATGAAGTAATAGACTATTCCAAGGGTCAGCCCATGTGAAAGCAAATATTTATATAAGTGATTAAAATACCCTCCCCACATCCCGCCCACTTCATTTAAATGAGGGACTAAACTGTAAAACGATTCATCTCCTAAAGGCAATCCTGAAAGAGGAGGCAGGAAGAAGCATTTGTGGGTGGAAAAAGAGCAAACAAATAGTGACGTAAATCTGACTCACCCGTCTTTTGCCTGCACAATGCAAAGATTAGAGCAGCAGGCTCTTTCGGGGATGCAGATTTCATCCCTTGCTTTTCTTAGACTTTCATCCTCACAGTGACGAGTCTGTGGAATTTCACACTGTCACAGCCGTCTCTACAGAGGGTCAGAAAGAATTGCTAATCTTGGTAGCAATATTTCTATCTTCATCCTTTTTCTTTACCTCTTAAGATATACATTTTTGTTGAAGATCCTTTGATAAAGATGCATACTGTTGGTTTTAAATATTTTAAGTCTTATTTCTTTGAATATTTACCACAAGAAGATAATCCCTTTTGTGAGTTTGTATCAACAATTATTCTTTCATCTAAAGTGTTGAATTCACGTACTTTATGCAGCCTGGGCCTTTAAACCTCACATAGAGCAAGATGTGAGAGTTCTAGAAATTAGTTTCATGTTATCCTCGACAACGTTTATCTAATCAAAATTCTCATATCATTAAATCGTATGATTTCTCCGTATGATAGGCGCAACAAATGGATTCTCAAGTCAGTTTAAAACCGTGACCTGCACAATTTGCCTGGGAACCAATCAGGTTTGTTTCAGTCATCTCCTCATCTGATAACGATGGGGAATCCTGGGGTGCAGACACTTTAACATGCAGCTGTCTAGATCTGTGTCCTGCTCTAATTGAAATCAGGATGCGATAACATGCTCATTATGGAGGAAGTCTGAAGAGATGGACTCAAGCCAACATCACTGCCAGTGGTTCGCCTTGATGTGATGTTGATGTGGCAGGCTTGACCACATTTAAAAAAACAAAAAAAAAAACATTAATCAATGTCTCCAGCAGTGTAGTATTTAATCTCACGACACATAGATAGAGGAGAAGTTGACTAAGCGAGCAAAGTGTCTCCAGTCGCATCTAAAGCTGATTAGCTGATCATCATCTAGCAAAAACATTGTTCCCAGGGTAACGCTGTTTGGGAGTGGAGCCATTTGCTTTTTATTTTGATGCCTTAATGAAGACTTTGTGCTGAGATAGAGCCCTGTTAAATACCATAAACAAGAAGACTGTTGCAGTAATACGCAGACTTAGGCGTCCTGTTGTCGTTTCCCAAGTCATCAGATTATGATAAGATATCAAAGTTTCTCTTGAACAGAAGGAGTCATCATTTCACTGACCTGATTATATTAAGATAAAAAGGTAGTTGTAGTGGCATTAGAGAACGATTTCCACACTTGCATTTCCAATTGGTATTATGTTTTGCGCCGTCGTAAAGACAACCGGACCAATCTTTTTTTCTTCTCCAGAGCCTGGTTATAACTAAAAATGTTGTGGTTTTTTTCAAACCAGCAGGGAAGATTCAAGAAATATATACAAACTGTCACTATTGCAAAGTACTTAATTTGATTCTCTTTGGTAACTGGACTAATTTAGGGAAAACAATAGCGCCATTCTTCAACCGTTTTGTTCCACGCACCAACTAGTCATCGCTTTGAAACCATTACATTGTGCAATCAACAATTTCTTCATAATAATAAGTGTGACAAAGGTAACTTCGTCACTGTGGACTGACGGCTTCGGGCCTTGGAATATTGCACATGTGGTTTAGTTTGAAAGTGTTTCCCCTCCCGTTTTGTCTGTGTCTGGTGATTGTGTTCACCTGGTGCCCTGTGTTGTCTCCTCCCCCCTCACCTGTGTCTTGTTGATTGATTAGTCTGTGGGTATTTAGGTTCTGGCTGTTTCTCAATCGCGAGGATGCTGGCTTGGTAGTCGCGTACTTCCAAGTCACTTCCTTCAGAAACGAAGCAAGTATGCTTCCAAGCCACGGCTTCGGAAAACGAAGAAGAATGGAACAGGCTAACAAGTGTGCCACTCTCTCTAACGGTTTCAACATAAACTGTACCGAAAATAAATACCTCACAATGTCTATCTAATTATAAACTTGCTTTACTTTCACGGAACACATTTTTGGTGATAACAAACAAATGCGCAAAGCATTGTGGGGATTTTAAGGACGCGAAGTCTACCCATGTGCAGCCTCGAAATTTCCCCCAAACCAAGGACGCGGCCTCGGTGGAATTCCAAGTATGCTGGAGATGGGAACAGTCCTTCGGCGGCACTCGATGACGTAGCATCCTTGAAATATTGGCTTGGAAGACAGAATCCTCAAGATTGAGAAATGGCCTCTGTGTGTTCTGTGATTTTGGGTGTGAGATCCTTGTGGCTGCTGACTCTGTTCAGGTGGACAGCAACTGAGGCTGTGAATCATTTGTCAGTGATGAATAAATGCCCACACCGGGTTGTACAGTATTTGGACATTCTGCCTCTGCCTCCTTACTTGGTCGGGCCGCTCAACGGTCAGCTTCACAATAAGTTAAAGCAAAAAACGTGTTTTGTGTCTTGCCAATTTAATTTAAATTTGTCTTATAAAAGATAGTTTAAAAAAGTGTTTTCTTTTTTAATATATGTCACAGCACTCTTGTGTTTTACTAAACTACACTAACTTATCTTCCCAATAGTATAATGAATCGCTAATGGCTGTAATGGAAGTTATTGAACAGGCCTCAGGTTTCCACATTATGAAATAATGAGTGTGGTCACTCACAAAAACATTTCTTTATGCTTAAACCAGGTTGTCACAGGAAGTATTGATTCCTTCATGCCTCATCTTCAGAAATAATTACACAAAACTCGGCTAGGTGCTCAGTAGCGGATATTAAATAAAGCACGAAAATCACTGTAAAATATGACTTTATTGATGCAAATCCAACATAATTAAGATAAAAGCTTTAATATACATACTGTAATATACTGTCTCTCTTTTAGAAATAATGGTTTTGTACTGCAGCACTGCAGATGTATGTTGGAAATAATGAGATGGGCTGTAAGGGAGCTGCATTATGAGCTGAGCTTGGTAAAGTCTTTTGGACTATCTGATGTCAAAAGGAATCATTTCATTTCCTCCATCGAGGCCCTTTAGTGGTCATCAGGGAGCATTAGACATGGCGCTGCAAAAGCCTCTGACTACGGAGCTGCTGCAGCTTTGCTTTTCTGCCCACACCTTAAATCAACTCAGTCGAACTCAGCGTGGCTCTTAAGGTCGTCTTTGCAAATCGATCACAACTATTCAACGCCTCTGTCTGTTTGTGCACGAAGGTTAAGAGAGTTTAATTCATATATATCAGTCAGGGAGCTTGATGGTAATGATATTTGTGTGTGCAGCAGCTCTAAATAAAAGTGTTGTTTTATTAACATCCTACCTTTATAGCAGCAGAGCTTCTTCCAAACTTTTTAAAAACAATTGAATGTAACCCTTGAACCTGATACATGTGAAAAGTACTTTACAACAAATATTCAGCACTAGTGAGATGGTTGTGTTCTATCAGCTGAACCGTACTCGTCTGAACTACAAGTATGTAAAGGATTTGATGCCTGTTCCCATAGTATTTAAAAAAATATCCGTACATAACATAATGCATATATGAAATAATCGTCTCATCTTCTAATCGGAGGAAACACTACAGATGGCGAGATATTTATCAGATCGAGGGGCTGTGATGAATATTTGCGACTCATAAGCTTGATTCAACAGAAGATGAGCTTGTGAAAAATATTTTTTTTAAGTATTTCCTTAACTTGATTTACAGTATTACATTTGAAATACTCTAGAAATGGTGTAATTCTTTTTTATTTAGTTCTCAGTGTCCAGAGGCCTGTACTACGAAGCTGGTTCAACCTAACCTGGATATGTTTGAGTTAGCCGGTTGGCCTAATCCAAAACATACGCGCTCTCGCTAAACGGTACTACGACGCGCGTTATCAACCCGTTATGGATGATCGCTCAAGCCAGCCGTGCCCTATCTAGTTAGGTGCGCGTTCACATGAAAGGGGTGGTATTTGGAGCATTCGACCAATCACAGACATGGAGAAGCGTACTGACAGCGCAGCGTCATACTTCCTGAATGAAAAGTCAACTATAATATTAGACATATGAAGAAGTTAAACTTTAAACATCCATGACTTAAACACTTTATCCAGGATAAAAGCCACATAGTTGCACCTGCAAGGTGAATACAGCTGGTAAAAGAAAAAGTGTTTGAATGCGTACATTAACAGGTTTATGATATCACTGCCCCGCTAAGACACGAGTGGATCTGACTTTAATTACATTTGTCTCGAGTGTTTCGTCAACTTAATGTGTTGCTTAAAATAATACTTCTGCATACAGTATGTGACACTGTGAGTGTTGCACGGCCAGATACGGCTCAGCTGACTCAGATAAGGAAATATATGATACATTATGATGTGATATGCCGCGGACTGTACTTAATGTTACTCTGATCCGGTTACTTATGTTGTGGAAGATATTTAAGTAAGCTTTCTTAACGCTAATGTTATAATAGTCAGATTGCTCTGAAGATGGGAGGTGATATTCTATTAATGTTCACGTTCACACAGTCGGTGATTTTTGCCGGCCGTCTTTCCTGCAACGGCAGCTTTTCTGTATTTCCTTTCTCCTGTAATATGACTTGATCGCTTTTAAACTCCGCACACTGAGCTCTGATTGGTCAGCAGGCAGTGCTTTCACTGAGTTGAGCTCTTAGCCTGCAACCTAACCTGCTCCGGGGGCAGGTTAGCCGCACAGCATAAGTTACCATGGAGATCTAGCCTGCTAAAAAGAGAACCAGCTTCGTAGGACCGGAAACCCAGAGTTTTCCCTGAAGTTAGCCGACTAAGCGAAAATCCTGCTTCGTAGTATACCCCCCTGGTCCAGCCTAATAATCATGTTGTTCTGTTGTTAAAGATAAACAAATGACTTACAGCGTCCCTTTACTGTAAACCCTTTGTCATCTTAATTCACGGTGTTGCGTTACAATTAGATGTGTCACCTCGTCTCCTTGACTGTCAGAGAAAACCCATTTTACATTATTAGTCAAGTCGTCCACAGCTGTTAAGTGTGGAACTATAGCTCAGATAATATTCACTTGTTAATGTGCAGTGATGACAAACTTGTTACTTTGTTTCCCATTACTATTCACTCCACTAAAGTGTGGTGAATAGGAGGCTGATTAAATTGGACAAATGCAGAACAATATGTTGACAGCAGCACCATTCAGACATTGCTCACTCCCCTCCCCTGCTGAGATATCATCACACCGAGGAGACCACTTCTAACTCTACCTTCAGAAACGGTTGGGCAGGTTAAACACACATATTAATTTATTATAAGGACTGTCATTTAATAAATTAATGTTATTTACATTCAAACAACAAGCCACAGTCTAATTAACACTTGATGAAGAAAATGTATATTCATCTTTAAAGACTATATCTGATTGTTCATGTTTTTGTCGAATAACAGGTTTTATCCTTCGCAACTAGCTGCTGTCTTTTATTCTACTATGTCTACCATTTCAGACACCTATGGTTTCTTTCAATTCCTTTAGTATGGAAACAAATCAAATTGATAATAATATTTGCTTTGACCATAATAAATACAGACTTAGGAGCGTATTGATTTTGAACCCTGTGGAATAAAATAGAAACAAGTGGCTTTCAATTTCTCTCATGCTGTGAAAATGGTCAGCTAAAATGTATAATTTACTAAAAATAAACTGTTATTGTTAACATAATGTACCTCCAATTACAGTTATTGCCAATCTTTTATTTATAAGTACTTCATATGCTAATACAGGTGCAGATTTGAGACTGTAAACAATAAAGGCAGAGATTAAGGTGGCAGCTGTCTAGTACAGAAGGAATGGGTCAAAGGCAGTTCAAACGTGCATTCAGTCTCTGTGCATGAACTGTGTGAGAGGGATAAAAAAAGCGTCCCAGCATGTGTAATGTTTCTGCCTTGCATGGTGGCTATTGGCATTGTCTGATCACAGTGGAGCTATGGGGCTCTCATTGCCTGTAGCCCTGCTATAATCCTGCATTTGAAGAGGATCTGTTCGGGGGACTGGAGACAAAGCGTTCTGTAGAGGGTATCAAGTGTCCGCCACCAAAGCCCAGCTCCCTAGGCTGCCCTCCAGGGGGGTTTCCTGTGAGCTGCAGAGAAATCAAGTTGAGGGCAAAGCCTGGTCCGTGGGATTTGAACCTGGCTTCTGTGAAAAAGCTCGGGCATTGGTGGAGACAAGATGATATCACACGCCGCCACTAGTTTGGTCTGTGTTTCACAAGGTCGATACCGTGACTTCTGACGTGGTTTGTTGCATTTTTTTCCCCCAGCAATGCTCCACTGACCTACTTCCTGTTAATCCCTCGATGTGACTTTAATTGACTAGAGGGAGGGGCAGGGAGGAGAGAGGGGTGTGTCTGTGTGTTCTAAGGAGGGGGCAGCATGGGCATGTACAAGGGACAGAGGGGGGTGTTGATTGAAGATAGGGAACACAGGAGCAACCAAGAGAAAGGGAGATTTGAGAGCTTGAGTGATTTCCTGCTGCCACCGCTGTGTTCAGGCCACACATTAATTTGATTCTGTTATGTAACTGCAATCATCATCCTCTATAATCACATCAGTGGCTTTGTGAGAAACCCAACATAGAGGGATTGTCGGCTGTACAGGAGGCGGGGCAAACTTAAGGGTCTATTGCTGAGGGCCAGAGAGAGTAAAGGGACTGGGGCACCGCAGCAAGAGTCTGAAAAAGACATGTCACAAATGAAAGGGGGAACTAACTTGACTACACAAAAACAGAATGGGGTGCTATTTACATTTCATTTAAGGGGTTTTGTTAGTCAAACATGTTGCATTCTGAATCGTGTTTGGGGACGGTAACTTAATCCTGAGTAATGCTGTACATTGAGCTGCTAAAAGGAAGTCCATATAGTATTACAGAGGGCTTTTTCAGAGAGTTTCGGAACAGATTTGGGAAATACACGTTCTTGCCAAGAGTTAGGTTGGAGGATCAATATAACCATCTGTACTCTAAATACGAGGCCAGTAGCATGTTAGCTTTATTTATTTATATTTATTTTAATACACATTTACATCAACAAGTCACAGCTATTTTCTGGTCAAATGTTTTCAAAAAGAAAATGCATTACAACATTGACATAAAAACTGAAAATTCTACACTTAGTACATTTACGTAAGATTACTACCTTAAATGAAACATGTGAAATATCTTTACAGTCTCCACTAATGCAGGTATTTTCTATTAACATCTGTCCGTTAGCCAAAGTCAG